ATGGACGATTTTTCTTGGGTCAATGAATCACGTAACCCCTTCTTCTGATGGTCATTATCTCCTAGTTCTAATGCTCATTATCTTCTAGTAATTGTGTGATTCCTTTTTCTTTTTTTTTTTTGCAAGAGACGATAAATCTAATCTATCCTACACTAAGGAAAAGGAGGTGGGTCTAAGGAGACCCAGGAATAAGTCGGAGGGGACTGAACCATCACCGGACCAAACGGGTGCTCAGCACACCGTGCCTGGATTTTTTGGAGACAAGCTATAAAAATATGACATTTTTAGTGACAGGCAAGGTTCGAACCCTTGCCTCCCACCCCTACCAAGTAGGTGGGCCCAATGGTTAATTGTGTGATTCCAATTGAACTCCGTGAATACTGCACTATAATAATAACTTACTCCAATTGAACTCTGGAAATGGTATGATAATAACTTTGGACTGATCATCATAATAATCACAGCTTAGGAAACAAAGTCCATATAAAACCAATTAATCTTTCTGGTCAGCAATCCAACACGGCTGGCATTAGCCATTAATGTGAAGCCGCATCTCTCCCATGCATTAATGTGAACCGATATTTTGCACCAATCCGTCACGGCTGGCAGGCTGCCAGATCAGTTCTCGTCGTGCCCGGGTAAAGCACAGCTAAATGACAGTAAAGCCCTTTAAAAGTACCAATGCATTTTTCTTCAACGAATGAAACATGCATCATGGTGTAATGAGTAAGTAAATTCTCACCAAACCAGTCCCAGCCTGAGTGAAAAACATGAAATCAAGAATATATTCTCGGGCCAAAAATAAGAAGTCATCATCTTTCTAAATTATTTAGATAATAGAAACATTGTTTATATATATATATATATATATATATATATATATTTGAGAAGGATAGATGAGGCAATTAGGGATATTAATGAACAAGGTTTGTCACAAGGAAATTTCGTGATATTCATTCAAGTATATACACAACATGAATTATTATAATAGACTTAAATAACAAAAGATTTTTCTAAGTTGGTACCTTAAGGATACCCAAAAAAGAAAAGGATCCACTTTTAAATCTTGTCACCTTATTATTGCAACATTTTTGCAACCTTTAAAACGACCACCTGTCGCAACAAAAAGATTTCTTCTTTTTTTTTTTGGTGAAAAATATAGTATCAAATCCACTTCTTATTGTGTGTCCTGAGAGCATCAAATAAATAAATCCAAAATGAAAATTCCAACTATTTTCAAACCTATTACAAGCAACGATGGAAATTATATATGTAGGGAGGGTTGGATTGGATTAGATGGTAAAATAGGAGGGGTTTATAAAAAAAAAGAAATGATGGAAATTATATAAGTCAACAAAGTCAGAAAGGGTACAATTGTCTTTTAACTTGTTTGCCGGGACAATTGCTCTGGAAATAGCCTAGGCAGACCATGACTTGCGTCTACATCAAGCCTCAACTACGCGTACTCCGGTTCATGGCCCTCGATCGTACAAACAGGTATACGTTACAGCAACACTTTTATGTTCATTCAAGACTATAAAATCAACCCATTCGCCTCCTCCTCATATGTACTACATTATTTAGTGGGCTCCTAACACAGCCAAATATCACCTCCTCTATTTTAAATTTCACACCCCGTCCTACTGCTACATATAGAAGCTTGCTCACAACACAAAAGAAAAGACACAGATAGGAATCCCTTGTTAGTTTTCCTGAAAGAATGGAGAGTCAATACATCGGTAGCAATGGTGGATTGGAGGGGAGGGGAAAAGAAGTTGAGGTGGCAAACAAAAGCAGCCTGAGGGGATCAGACGTGATCTTGAGGTTCTTGGCTTTTGCTTCGACGCTTGTGGCAGCCATAGTTCTGGGAGTTGACAAGCAGACTAAGCTGGTTTCCATGACTGTGGTTTCAACCCTTCCGCCTATAACTGTTCCGGTCACGGCTAAGTGGCATTATATGTCCGCCTTTGTGTAAGCGCCTCTGTCTCTCTCTCTCTCTCTCATTCTCCCCACAACACAAACACAAAATTAAGCATGCATGTTCATTGTTCAATATCAATTTTGTAGATGATTCTTCTTTTTGTGTGTGTGTGTGTGTGTGTTTTTAATGTGTGAAAAAATAATTAGAAAGGTGTTTTGAGACTTTGATGTTAATTGCCCTCTCTATATACTGATTTTGAGTAAAAGATTAGAAAGATGTTTTGGAATACACTTCAAAAAAGACAGTAGTATTTCAGAGGGAAGATTTTCGTGGTAATTCTTTTATGTTTAGTCCTCCTTTTACAACCTTGAGGAATTCTACTTCTCTAATACTAAACTTTTATGGAAATTATTATGTACCCTTGAAGCGAATTTCTAGTATATGTGGACCTTTAAAAACAGTGAAGCGTTGAAAATAAAAAGAAAAAGGTTCATACATCCTCTGAAAAAATAACCTCCAATTATGCATTTAGGATCCCTATCTTAATATCTATGAACGGTTGGCCATTGCATGACAAGAATACTGGTCCAGAGCAATAAAATACTTAGTATCCAAATTATTATTATTAGTAGTAGTGGTAAAAACATCCCATCAGCCGACTGCTTTGTTCCTTTTTGCTTCCCAACGGTCAAAAACGGGACAAAAAACGAAACAAAGTAACTCAGACCATGGTTCAAAGAATAAGCTTAGTCCGAGATGACTCGGCCGAATTATCCCCGGAATAATGTTTTCTGTTCCGGTATCATCAGGATGAAATGATTCTTAGATACATGGATCGTATCGCTTAGAACTCGGCTGAGAAGTCTCCGACACAGATAAAAATCGTTGAGTCACGCTGAGTCATCCGAGTCAATTTATTATAGTGCATTTTACAGATTTTCTTTTGTTAATTTATTTTATTTGGCATATTTTTTTATATTATTGATAATTTTTTAGAGTATTAATGTTTCAAAATTTACGTATAATCGAGACCGCGATCGATATGACGACATCAATGTGAAACTGTTCGAATTGCAACCGAGACTTTGGATCATGAATCAAACATACTTTTTTTTTTTTTTGGTATATATATACAAGGGAGAATTCTAAAATCGAGAATTCTCTGCTTTCAATTCTTTCCATCTCATCTCTCAATCCAACCCTCTCCCAACCTGGCCAACTTGTCGGATTAAATCACGGTCAATTATACCTGTATTTCATGCATGTGCATACCATAAAGTACGTCTTTGTCTAGATGGATGGATGGATGTGCAACGAAAAGTTTCAAGTCCTTATGTGATATAAATGAAACGATTGCGAGTTGAATTTGCAAAGTCGTCGCCCTTTTGGTTCTTTTTAATCAGCCCTTTCCTTCCTTTTTTTTTTTCTTTCTTTTTTCTTGTTTATGTTAAGTTCTCCTTTTTCATTAATTGTACCCACAAAGGTAACAAAAATTCATTGATTGGAAAAGTACTTCTAAAGACTCCCAATTCCAGGGCTATATATATAGGTTGATAATGGAGAGATAATTGAGCTACGTGCTCACGTCGACTTCAGTTGCCCCTATTGAAGGCATTAGGCCAACAACCCCAGCAATTTGTCATTCATGTGACAAATGGTCCTACCCTATCTCCCTCCTGTGTTAATATCGCCAACTCCCCTCCCTTTGTGGGAATCATCAGGAGAACGAGTTGGCACTTTGCTATATAGGCGCATAAACTATGCCCTTTTAGCTAGGCTTGGCCCGTCTTGGGCATTCAATATCAATCGAATTGACAGGAAAAACCCACTAATCTGAAAATTTTTTTAACATGTTCAATGCTAGAATTTGTGCATGTGTCTAAACATATACTACAAATTACTCATCTTCTAACAGTTTTATTATCAAGGGATTCCTAATTTTGTGAATAAAGATGATTTAAGATGGAATTTTCAAATTTTTTACATCGTCCTTCAAATTAAAAGCCTTTGTAGAACCCGAAATCAGGAGAATTATACTGAACTATAGCCAGCTACACAATAATCATCAAGTCAACAACAAGAATCACATTTGGAAAGGACAAAAAAGATGGAATGCAAAAAAATCTTGCATGTATGTATCCATATCTAAATCTTCCAATGTTGATGTTGGTTTCAGGTACTTTGTGGTGGCAAATGTTGTAGCATGTGCATACGCAGCCCTTTCACTACTGCTTGTGTTGGGAAATAGGGGTGCAAAGAAAGGCCTTGCATTGATGATCATCACCCTTGACCTAGTGATGGTGGCGCTGCTCTCTTCCGGCGGCGGAGCTGCCTTAGCTGTTGGGCTCATCGGCTACCGAGGAAACTCCCATGTGCAATGGAACAAGGTTTGTAACGTGTTCGGAAGGTTCTGCAATCAGGTGGCTGGAGCCATTGTCGTTTCCTTGCTGGGCTCTGCAGCATTTCTCTTGCTGGTGTTGCTTGCTATGATCAACCTACACAAGAAACACAACTAATGCAAATAATAAAGTTCAAAAAGCCTCTTGTGTTCCTTTTTTTTTTTTACTATTATTCAAGAAAGCAATTTAAGGTGTTAATGTAGCCGGCACCGCATTACTTACTTACTCATCTATTATTTTATTTATGCTTGACCTTTGCTCGCAATTACCAAAATCACTTCTTCTTTCTTTTTTTTTTTTACGAAAATTTTAGCAGCCATAAAAAAAAAAAAATTCAGGCATCTTCATGGGCTTGATCAATTCAGGCAAATTCGATTTACTATCAAAGAATTGGCAAGGCAGATTGGGGTCCAACCCAACCCAACCCAACCATGCAAGCATCAAAGATCATTACGAGCCCACCTTCAAAATCAACAAAGGAGGTCGATCTATAAGATACAGTGGTCCAAGAGTTTAACACGTGTCAAGATCTCATCCTTTCTTACAGCCCAAGCACCATCCCATGTGCCGGTTTTACTTGCAAACAACTTAAAACAGTAAAAACCGAAATCAGTTACTCGATCAACAACCCAGATCAACTCAGCGGAGAAGGGTAAAGGGGGGATTCCACAATCTCAACCAAAATCAGGGGTGATCGAGTCTGATGATCATAAATTTAGATGATCGAACGGCTCAGGATAAGAAAAACTACAGCAAACTGCATGCATGCATTGCAAAATTTTGTCAGGTCCCTGCACATGACCTCCTCAAAGTGGACAAAACCTATATATATATATAATCAGTTCTCTAACGATTTCCTGCAAAATTCCTTCACTTTTCTTCTTTCTGTTGCTGCGCCAAATATTCTTCTTCTAACAGTCTCTTAAATGGACCCAAAACACACACAACACACACTAGAAAGTACTACACAGTAACTTTTTTAGGTGTCTGATATGATTGCCAAAGAAAAGGGCCGAAACCGAGTGAGCGAGGAAGAGGAAGTAGGAAAGCTTTTCATGGGAATTATGGAGGGGTATAAGGATTCATTGATTCCACCATTGTCCGAGTTCAATCCCCTGATTGAAAGGACAAATTGTGAAAAGGGTTCGAGCAGTTCCAAGAAAAGAGATAGGACTGAAGCTTCTGAGATTAAAAGTGTCCAAAATGAACGGAATAGAAGAGGGAAAATGGCTGAAAGCTACTCCGTTCTTCAGTCTTTGGTCCCTTCTCTCTTCCCAATTCCCAAGGTAAACTCAACCCTTCCAACCCATTTCGAATTTTTACTTCTTTCTCATTGAAGAATTCGAAAAAAAAAAATTGTGTGATAGTATAATTTTTTGTAAGGTTTGAAATCAGTCGTTTTTGATATTTCTTATGCAGCCCTCAAGGGAGAGGACTTTGACAGAGACAATAAACTATCTTAGAAGTTTGGAGCAAGAGAAAGAGAGATTGGAAGGTCTGAAGAGCTCATTACTGCAGAAGCCAGTCTTATCTGGTTGTACTACGTATTTGATGAATCCCTCTGTTACCGCCAGTTTATGCAATGGTGTTGCATTTTTTGGGATCCAATTGCCTGCTAAAAGGGGTTTATTGAGAAAGATTGCCAAGGCTTTTGAGAAGTATCATGCCGAGGTATTGGAGGTTGCTATATACGTTAATGATCACGGAATGTTGACTTTAACTGGCACGTTTATGGTGGGGAATGATGGAGCTTTTGTTGTTGAGAAGATCAAGAAAGAAATTCTGATTCTGTAGATAGGTGCTAATATGTATTGATGATTATTAATACTTGATTCAGGGCCAGGAAATTTTGTTCTTATTCAGTTTTAAGAAGAGATCTTTATCTTTCATTAGGAAATGCAAGGATTTTTGGTGCTGAAGTTGTTTCTCAAATTTATATAGCATTACGGTGCAAATCAGAAAAATTTTGATTCTCATCCTGCATACAACATTATTCAGAAAACAAACTTTTGAAGTTGGTCTTATGATCCATGCGTACTAACACTGTTTCTGTGCTGCTCTTTTATCTTGAATGAGTTTAAAGCCTAATCACAACAGTCATTCCGAATTCTTGATTTGTTTTGCAAGTTTCATAAACCATTGCTTATCATTTTAAAATCCTAGTAAAATCCCAAATTCGTTTTCATGGAGAAATGATTGTAATTTGAGAGTTAAGGAAATGAAATCCTCAAACAAACAGGGGGCAAATTGGCAACTCTAAATTCTAATAGGCTTCAATTTGTAGCCTGGTTCTTGGTTCAGCCGATCTCTGCTCCACCACAGCACTGATTTCTTCCTCCACATTCGACTGAATTCTTTCACTCAATTCTCTTGCTTTCTTCCTGATGTCTTCTCCGCAGCCTTTGGCATCCCTTCTCCACCCCGACACCAATCTCAACTACAAGCCTAGCATTCAGAGGCTGATCGAGTTGCATAGGCAGAGCAATGATTAGCACACCAAATGTTATGCTGTCCATGATCGAACTCCACCCACATTGACTCACAAAACCACCAATACTTGGGTGGGCTAAAATCTTGGCCTGAGGAGCCCATCCCTCCAATATTAATCCCTTCCCTTTCACTTTTTGTCAAGATATCCTTCAGGTAGTGCTCTTTCAACACTTGTTTTCTCCCCGCCTGGAAATCTAAGTACCCAAATATGGTTAACATTGCTATAATCCAGGCCATGAGCAATCTCTAACATTTCCTCCTTGGATAAAAAGCACTCGCTACCAAAAGAAACAAACACCCTTGAGGCTCGAGGCTTCTCATTTAGCCATTGCATTATCTTAGAATTCTCATCATCATCATCAATAGGGTCCTGAACTAGTGAACCAACTGGAATTGTCTTTTTCTTAGCCAAGGCAGAGAGAAACTCAAATGTACTTGCTCTCGATGTCATTGCAACTTTTGACCAAGATGACCTCAGAAGATAGATCAATACAATCAAAAGACTCGTTCTTTATCTTTGCCATCATTTATTGCGGATTCCCCACAACTTATCATCATCTTCATATCAAACTCCCTCAGAAAAATTGTGGCAGCCGGAAATTGAGCATTGCGATTTTTGAACAGGAGATGCAAGAAAGCAGATGCAGTAGCTCCGGTAGTTTGGAAGTGAACTGCTGGAATACGGTGGACTAAAGCTATCAGAGGCACCCATGACTGGTAGATGTCATATATAAGCAAGCAAGTCTGGTTGAATATTATTGATGATGCTGGAGAAGGATGAGCTTGCCATTTCCAAAGCTCGAATGAGGGTGACAATGAGATGGGGTGGTAGGCCATTGGTTGTATGGTATTTTCTCGACGGAGGTGAGATTGATAGGAGTTGAACAAAAGCAGCTGCTGAAGTTTCACTTTGCGAGTTTCTTAGCTAGCTCAAGAAAAGGAGAAGTATGACCATGAGCCAGCCGTGGAAACATTAGAACTCTAAGACACGGTTGTTCTCTTTCCATATTTGAGTCTCGCAAATCAAAAGGAGAATGAGATCACAATGACCAAGTGTTTCGAAACTTAGAAGTGAAGAAGATGAAGGAATAGTCCAAAAGAAAGGCATTGCTCAGTTGTCCACTGCCGTTGCCATCAACTTAGGAGGACTTGGAAATGATTTATGCAATTTTAGACAGCTCGAAGACTTTGAAAGTGACCCATGGCCGGCCAGGGTCAAATATTAAGACTTGCAGTCTTAATAAATATTTAGTTGCTGTGATCGACATTTTGCATTTGTAGATGCAGAGCAGAACGGACTGGAATAGAGAAATGGTGAACTTGTTATTCAATTTTCGAACACTCACAAGCATCTACAGTTAAAATGCAAATTTGCCTTGTTTCCTTCTTGAGGATTTGTTCAAGGTTATGCTACTTCTTTCATTACAGACAGCCAAGCATTCTTCCACCATCAGCGCAGAATTGTTGAAACTAAATTTGACACGCTCTAACCGCTCAAAGTCGATTAAACCTTTAGAAATTCCTATTTACAGTTAAGGTCCAAGCCCATCCATCATTTCACTCCTAGAGTTGATATCATATTAATCATCGAAGTATCAAATTAAGAAGTGATCACACAGGCTCCAACCTTCACCTATATAACGGCTCCCAGAGCAAGTCTTACCACATCCGAATATATATCTCAAATCCAGATCTGAAAACCATTTCATCTTTTCCCTCGGCCCCAACTTCCAGCTGTGGGCATTCATGCGAAATTTAGAGCCGTAGTCATCCAACATAAAAGAAGAAATGAAGAAGCTCTCCTTTATCCTATCTAAAGTACCAGTTGTTAACCGTAGAGCAAACGGCAAATCCTCTTCCTTTCTCTAATCAACTATCAGGGCATTCACGTTTCTGCATGTTTCTCAACTGAGCAAACTACACTTGCTTAACATTTCCCCGCCCGGCTGGAGGGCGCCAAAGCAAGAAGATGAACAGTTACATTAACTTCATGCATAACTATCAAACCAGTTGCGTGTGGAGAAAGCAAAATTGCACGCAGTTTGGAAGTCTGCTAAAAGCAGTCAAAGATCAGTAGTACGCTTCACCATTGAGCACCTACTCGTGTAACATCTGCTCAACGGCCAGGTACGCAGATGTGATTCTTTGGAAGCATGAAGTAATACAACTGCTGTTCATGATGAAAACCAAGCACTTCTTGAGCAACAGGCAACTTCACATGCAATTTGAACACCATTGACCTCAATATTCAACTCAAAATGCCTGCTTTTGTGGTCAAGTCATCAAGATTTACATTTACTTCTGCACCGATGCTTGATAAACTGACAATCATGGCAGGAATACTTTTCTGTAGTGCAGCAGCGACATCCTAGAAGATAAAGGAAATGATTATTGTGCTTGCACAAGTGGCATCATTCTTTAATTACAACATCCAAAACCATTGAAAAACATGTAGTCCTATTCTTTGACATGAGGAAGAGAAGAAGAAGACGATGAAGATAATGAAAAACATTTACTTCTCAACTAAGTCTGGCAGTTTTCCAGCTGTGGGCACGTGTGTGTGTGTGAGAGAGAGAGAGATGACTGTTGAACAACAAAAGAGATCCCCATTTAATATCAGTCTATAGGCATAACAATTTAACTAAATAAGTTTACCTTTTTGTGTTCCTTCTTTTGGTGCTCAATAACCTCCAAAGGCCACTCACTAACTAACTTTTGAAGTTGACTTAGCATGCCTTGCCTTTTTCCATCAGATAAACTCTGGTTTCAAACACATGCAATGTGTCAATATTCATGATTCTGGCAAACATATTGAAGGAGGAGGAGGAGGCAAGATTTAAGCTCGCATTATAACCAGGTCCCAGCATACTATAGTTTTCTTCTATGGCAAGAAAAAGTAACACCTGGTATTAAAAACTGCCAGACAAAGTACAAGGGGTATCAATTTTTTTAACCTATTACTAACTTTTGGCCAATGCAAGTGATACTTTATCCAGCTTCAGCATTTCTATTGGACTGAAAATAGGTGATCCACTTGTTTTTGTCCTTAAAGACTTAATAGAACAGGATATAAGTAACCTGAACTCAACTCATGCATCAAATGAATAAGTAACCTGATTGAGTTCTTCAATGACAGCAGCAGCACTCTCAGGCTTGCTCTCAAGCAGAAAACCCTACAACCAACAATCCAAAAGTTGGAAAAAAAAAAAGGGAGAAACTAGTCAAACTAATGAGATCCTAATTATCTAAAGAAAAATACATTTTTCTGAAGCAGGTTGAAATGCATTTAAAATCAAGCTGATGAACAGTAAAAAATGAGAAAGTACAGCAGTAGATACTCTGATGCTTTATTCTATAATTTTTCCGCCACTACTTAATTGCTTGCTATCACTATGGAGCAGAAGGATTAACTGAAGGCAGTTATTCATCACTGGTTGACCAGAGATGAATCCCACTATAAAGAAAAAAGAAAGCATAAAGACGATTCTAACAAGGTTTCCATTGAAATATATTGCTTGGAGACGCAAAGGATGCCCAAATGGAGTAGCACCTTAAACTTGTCCAAAAGTAGCAGCTGCATTACCTTAGCACAAGAAAACCCGCTTGCAAGAGTATGCTGCTTCTTTGATTCTGATCTCAGTTTCTCAACTTTCCATAGAGAATCAACATCTCCTGAAACAGGTACAAAAAATGAAATTATTAACTATAAAAAGATTCAGTCAGCAGACGTCAGAAAAACCATATCTTAAACTACTCTATCCCAACCTAATGGCTTTGATTTTCCACAGGATGATGCAGAATTGTTTTCCTCAAATCGCAATTGTGCCATGCTTACAACAGCCAAATTAAAGGCCACAAATATTTTAAACAAATAATAAAAGTAAGAAATTCCATAATTAAGGAGGATGCATCAGGAATAGAAAGGCAACAGTCAAGACCTCTTTTAGCTGCAAATTCCATCCACATGTCAATGGTAGCCTGTCGCAGGTTCACTCCTCCAGCCTTGATAAACCTTTTTGCATATTTAGACAGTAAACCCCATTTCTGCGTCTCATAACATATTCTGCAACAATGAGACCAAATATCGATAACATGACAACTCCACTTGAGCAATGAAGCATACATATAATGAACAGCAACCTCTAAAAACAACATGGACTAGTGAAGAACTCCATTGTTGCCACTTTTACCTAGTGAAGGGTGTCATATGTCTTAATTTGAAAGATGCTTCAAAAGCTTATTTATCTACAGCCTCGGGAGTTAATCATGGGCATGAGTGGCATATAGGATTTTCAAAGGTAAAGACATCAACATAAGCAACAAGAACCCTATCAGGAGCATTTAACAAAACAGTTATACAAAATATCCGTGTTCTCATTAAGCAAATTGTGAAATTTGAAGTAGAAGATGCAAACATGTGCCTAATGGGAGGCTAACTCCATCTAGGTGCCATTCAAAGATGGATTAACAAATACAATTTCTGACTCATGCAGGGCTTCACATCTATGATTTTTCACAAGTAAAAGCAATGCAAAATGCAATTTTCTTGGGTAAGAATTTAAGTTTTAGAACTCATATCCATATTTGAACATACTCAGCTAAATCCAATGGAGAAGTACATCTATGAACCAGACAAAAAATATGACTATCAATACATGCAGAACTTGGAAAACTGCATAACTCACCATCAGTTGTGTTCAAATAGTTAATAATGAAAGCCAAAAACTACAAGAAGACAAAATCTTCATTAAAATCATGACATAGATGAACTTAAAATAAACAAGAATTATTCAACAAGATATCACCAACAAAAATCCCAACAAAGAATTCAAAGCTTCAAGGCACAGAGAATGATGAAAAAATACGAGTGATGTGTAATCACAAAATATACCTGAAGACTATATCAGCGGTGCCAGCTTGTAGTGGTAGATTATTCTTCTTCAGAAGTTCCATTATATCTGCCATGAGTTTAGAATCTTTGTGCTGCTTAGCATACAACTGCAGCCATACAACACCGGATCAATTAGCATGATAAGAACTGCAGCAGATTATGTCCTACACCCAAAAAAGCACCAAGATTATATCTTTGTTACCAGTAATTGATGAGCTGATCCCACACTAGGAGTTAATCCATATAGATTATGCTTCCATAATGCCTTCTTACCTGCATATAATAAACCTTAAACATTTCAGAAGCAAAATAAATGTATCTTCACTCTAAAGGCCAGCAAGCCAAAATCAACGTGCACAAGTGTCTGTACTCTAGAATTATTCAGGTTGATGGGTGAGAAGCATTCCTCAAAGTATGCAGATGCCCATTTAACTGACACATGATCCACAAGCAACCAAATGTCTATCGACCAACACAATGCCCCCATTTTGGTCCCCTCCCGACTCCAAAAAAAAAAAGGGTTCAAAAAGCTATGAGCTAAACGAGAATCCCATACCATAATCAACAGCCCCAACACGTACACATGCTTTTGTAACTTCTTGGCATAGGGCACAATTAAAGTTATCATGTATCCGAAGATTTGACAGTCTCTGCACAAGAGAATACTTGATTAATAAGAGTGAAGCAACAAATGTGAGTGAAAGAGATTCGACAACCTACTAACAAAAAGAGCAAGAACTAACAAATATTCGAAGCCTCTGCAGAACATCGAACAGAAGCTTAATATCTTCACGGGTAGCACTCTGTTGAACGAGTGACCACAACCACGCATTAGGAGGCGCAGATTTCTGTTCTGAAATAGATTTCAGAATTTTATCATGTAATTCCCTCACAGACTCTGCGTTTCAAACACCATAAGAACAATTGGGCTTTGTCAGCCAACATTTTCACCATAACGAGTAAACAAGAAAAAGATATCTTTTGAAAGAATCCTCACCTGTAGGAGCACTATCAACTGCATTCGATTCAGAAGAAAATAATTGCTTTTGCATTAAAACCCCCATTGGCCAACGTTGCAATACATTATTTGAGCAGTTCAGTCCCACTTGTAATCGATTTCCACGGATAATCCCTGTAAAATTTTTCAAATTCCACATCAGAAGTAAAACCAACAGCTTCTTCCTATCTTGTAATTTTAACAATTTCCTAAATTTCCTTTTTTTCTGCCGACTCCTCCTTCTGCTTTGAAAAAAGCAGCTTTCAAACCGAGACGATTTTTTTTTTCGCCTTAAGCTAAAGTAGTCGCATTTTCTTCTTTCTTACATTATTAAAAATAAGCAAATTTTTTAATAAACAAATAACAAGGGGAAGTACCCGAAGAGGAGAGAATAGTGGAATAAAAAGCTCGCCATTGAGGAGTTGAATTGAGTTGAGAAGAGTCGACTCGGACTGAGTTCAGAAGAATCGAGGACCGGCTGGTTAAAGCCCTAGCGAGTCTGCGAGTTTCTGGGAGCGCTCTCATTTTCACTTCGGAGAAGATGGCAGTGTTTGGAAGGAGACCGGGAAGAGTGTGCCGCGACTTAAGGTGGAAGAGCGGAGTTTTTGCAGAGTGACGACGTCGTTTGACAATTGAGGCCTCGAGCGGAACCCTGAAGCCTGAAAGTCAAGGTTGGACAAAAGGCGGTACTAGGAGGAAAGACGAAGAGGCACGCTTTTGGTCACTTAATGAACTGATGACTATACCCATTTTGTTTTCTTTTTTTTTTTTTTTGTTTGGAGCGCAACCATTTTCTTTTTTGGTTTAATTGCATTCCTCTATTCTCCAAAATTGTGCTTCTATTCCTACCAAAAAATAAATAAAAGAGAAAAAATTGCTCCCCTCCCATTTACCTTGTGTGGTGAACAAGAAATCTAATTTTGGAAAATCTAGCAAGTAATTAGTTAATTCAATTTGTTTAGTTAGAGATATAATTTTTTTATCCCAGATGAAATTTGAGCATAATCAATATTAACTTTTCACGAGTGAGTAAGAGATCTCTAATTCAAGTTTTATAACATCGTCTTACTACTAATAACGCAGGCAAAAATTTGGAAGGCACAGATACACGTGCCAATCATTTTGGCAAGTACATAAAAAGAAACAGATGAAAAAGTCTTGCATCACTTCGTTGATTTAAGTAGGAGCAGGAGGAAGAATTGAATTGAGCTTTGAGTGGTTTCCAAAGCTCCAATTGCTTTTGGTCATTTTTTGCAACAAAGCAAATTGTTCAATGTCTCTCTTTTTCTTTTTCTTTTTAATTTTTGGTTTCAATAGTCGGGTTGGCTTCCATGCAGGCATGCTGATTGAAGACGCCAAAAAACTCCTATGGGGGTTGCCACTTACCAATCACTGGGGAAGAACGGGAGGTGCAATTGTGCGAGTATTATACGATCGACAGTGGCTGCATTTCTGTCCAATTATATGGAAGAAGACCTCTGTTGTGTCATTGCAGTCATTACACAAAATCCATACCTGCAAGAAGAAGAAGGGCCGTGATATATCAGATGTTCCAAGTTGCTGCTTCAGGAGGAAAGTAAGAGCAAAAGACTAGAAATTTGTATGATAAAAAAACATTGCTCTCTGTCTCTCTTCTCTCCTCAGCTTCCCTAGCTGATCAAGCGACGCTACTTGGAGAACAAACAGGTAACGAGAGGGATGACAAGGGATTTACCTTCCTATGTCTGTAGTCCTCAGGCATCACAGTCTCTTCAATCTGAAAAATGGAAGAGATTCTGTTAGACATCTGAAACTTACCACAAAAATTTCTAAGTGAATCCGAGACTATACATTATGACAAGAGACAATTAACTTTACGAATGAATGAAATCGGGGAGCAAACTGCGAATAAAACCACGGTCAGCATAAGAATGACTAAAATCCGACAGTATGATTAGAAAAACAAATTAGCTAACTGAACTTTGAGCAGCTTTGGTCTACAGGGAGCAACTTTGGTTATCAAAACTGAATAATCCATCGTTGACTGTGAAATGTTGCATGTTAGAGTATGGTCACGGCAATACAAAACCATCCATCATCAACATTAATGTTATGCCCTTCTGCACAGTAAGGATTTATCCATTTGGCTTTCTACTAGCTCTACACATACCCCAAATCTCCTTTTTGAGTTTAGATATATAAAGGTCATTTTGTGAGGTGTGAAGTTTGCCGCAATCTCTTCTTCTAACTAATCCAGGCATGATGACTAACAAGAGGTCAACCAGCAAGAACTATGGACAATAAGCACATTTCTACATGCGGAAGAACTATGGATAGCAGGGCGACTCTCTCAAGATTTTGCACTTGTCGTAGGTACAAAAGGACCACCTAGTAGAAATCCAAGCCAAAAATATAACCTCATAAAAGTGGCCTTTTAATAGAGTTACCAGTCATGCAAAACAGGATGAACAAACTCCAGAAAGCATCAAAGTGGATGCTGGGGGAAAGTGACTGAAAACATAATTAATGCACTCACATAGATAAAAAGAGTACAAGATTCTTAAGGAACAGAGGAAAGTCCTTTGGTGACTGAATCTCAATTTTAAAACCTTCATGAAACATAATCCGAACAAGTGGATACCACTGCTAAAGTATAGTCTTCACTTGGCTTCAGGGATAGCGTAAACCTACCTCCTCATCTATTCTCTTCCAGATTCTGGACATGTCAATTATTGACCTGGAACATATGGGGCAGCAATACCTGAAATTTAATCATCAAAGGCAATATTAAACAAAGTAGTGAGCCACTTTCTTATTTATATATGAAAATAAGAGGCAAACTAATGTTTACAGGGAAGACCCAATTTACTTGTCATGCTCTATCATCTCGTGGTAGCATTCACAGTGCATGGTATGCCCACATTTCATAACAGTTGTGTCTTTCAAAGAGTCAAAGAGATACTGAAATTCGAAACAAGGAAGTGTCACAAACAGCAAGGTACCTGAGTTTCTAAATTCCCTTTATGAGAACTTGCACTTAACAAAGCTAACCTCATAACAAATAGGACAGTGATGCCGCATCGAATTCTCTACGCACAAATGATTGTCACGAAGACCAACTGAATAGCAAGAGCCTGCAAGTTAACAATATTAGCCCAAAAAACACAGAAAATGTGTTTGAAACCAAATTATTAATTGCATAATTACATTTTTAGCAGAAAATAAAGATCATGCAAACAGCAGAAAAGCTGAAAACATCACGGGATGAGGTGCTTAAAAAAGTGACATCCTTCAGCCATTGGCAGGGCTATTACGAGCTGAAAAACGCACATTACTTGAGCAGTGAACAGGAGCCCCTGATCACCATTACTTTACAATGAGCTATTTATATGACAACTTATTTCGAGAACTTGTAGGAGCTACAGAAAACGCTAGACATCAATATCTGCATATGTATAAATATGCAAAAGATTAACACGGAGACCACTGTGCAAAAGTTAGATGACATTGCTGCAATTCGTTGAGATTAATGCATAAAATCCAAAAGGAACTGTTCCAGTTTTAATTCTAGAGACAGGTATAACAAAGAATGCTCACATACCACATTTATTGCAGTGGAAAAAGTTCTCTCGACCACCAACTCTGAATAATAAATAAAATAAAACAATAAGAAAAGCTCCTGACTCAAACATCAATTAAGTAGAACAATATTTTTCCAGACAGAAAGAAAGGGGAGGAAAAAAGGCTCGGGTTGTAAACCTGCAGATCCCGCAATCATCGCAGTGGAATTGCCCTTTATCAACCTGTAATAAGTTGGTAGCAGTTACAATGGAAAATGAACAAGCAGAATCACAGGAATAACTTGAAAGCGGTTCAAACTTATTTCAGGTTCATATTCTAATGACATGGATATCAAAAGAGAAAACTTGCAATAAAGTTCAAACTCTAATGACATTTATGCAGATTAAAATGAAGGCTAATGTCAATTACATCATCATCATAGAATTTGCAAACTTCACAAAAATATTCTCCCATTCTGACGCCACAATTTGTACAAACTTGAGCAACCTGTAGAAGACAAAGACAAATGACCATGGAATTATTGACAACAATGATGAGGACAAGAGTAAGAAGAAAGAGATAGCAGTCAAATGACACATACCGGCTGCTCTGTGTCACAAACTGAACAGATAACCTAAATGACCAAGGGAGAACCCAGTGAGCTCAAAATCTACAAACTAGTACCTAATTAGATAAGGCAAAACAATTAAATGACATGAAGATTACAGTTTTTGCATCTTACATACTTGCTTCACATCATATCTGATCACTTCATGACGGTCGAAAACATTCCGCAACATACTCTGATGATCCAGACAGACACAAGTAACAAACGAGTTACATGAATTGAACCTCTTAGATTGAACAGATTCTGTAATATGAAAGAAACTCCATTGGAATTCCTTATTAAACTACAATAAGCGTTTAGGTCCAAATTAGGAGGAGTAAAATCAATATTAAGCTAAACAAAAGGAAATAACAGTTTCTTGCATTCATCCATACTACCGTGGACTCATTGTGGCAATGACGACAATCAAAGACCTCATTACAGCAAGGAGCTCTAATCTTGCATCTTCTCCTATAATGCTTGCATCTACAAATTCAAAAATAAAAAGGGCGATAAATTCCATGCTTCAATCACTAGGACTAATGAGAACTCAAAATATAGGCAACAGGAAGAGATCCCACACAGGAGTATCCAAAAACAGATCAGGAAAAAGGGTATCTTCCAGAGGAATAGACAAAACAAAACAACATAAAGACTGAAACTTTATCCATAAAACTGATTGCAAATGACCTCAGAACAACCAATAAACATATGCGGATTACAAAAGAGAAACCAACTACCAATCAGACAGTGAAAGATAAAAACTTTAAGCACAAACAATTGAGCTAGTTACCATAACCATAAGAACATCAATCTTCAAGTTAGACGTCAAACCAAAAGCAAAACTCTATCAACAACCAAAGACACATGCATCTAATTGCATGCATATACTCTCATACTTGCATATACTCTCATTCAATAGCAAACGCATTCAAAAGCATGTTGTGATATAAATTCAAATAAGGGAAAAAGAATGAAGCAAGTACCCGTAACCCATCTTCCCAAAATCAAGGCGATCATTGTAGGAGCCATCCATTTCTCTTATAAGCAAGAATTTCAATCCCAACTCACGCCGAAAGATAGCAAGAGCAGAGAAAGAGGGAAGGCTAAGAACAGGAGGGGAGGGAAGATGGGATTTGTCCAAAAGCCTTGAATCAGATTGAAATGGCCCTATTATATGTCAACTGACAAAGACTCCATTAATAAAGGGCTGGAATTTATTGGTTCAGAATAAATAGGCAGGAATTTAGTGTAGATATAAGTAGCAACTCGCATGACCACATTTCATGCTACTTAGCTACAACCATATACTAGTGCTATTGTCATTACTATATTTGGAAAGTAGGATATGACATTATTATATTGGTAGTTTATAGATTAGGGAGAGAGATTGAAAGGATAAGGTATGATGGGAATCATGGGATGGGAGGGGAATGGGTGACAAAGCGACAGAGTGCCGTGTAATGGGCGAATGAGATTGCTAAAAGTGAAAGCAAACTCATTGACGCCAGAGGGAAAAGGGCAAAAAAAATTTGTTTTCTTCTGCTAAAGAAACCTGCTATTCCATTTAGCAGCGGCCATGTCTATTGGTTGCTTTAGCTGTGATTCAAAGAAACCCACATGGGTAGTCCAATCTTGTAAATAATTGAAGTTTGAGAAGTAGCGGTGTGGTGAACTTATCAAAATGGGGCTCAAGGAAATTTAACGGGTTATAATTGAGCAAGAAGTATAATTAAGTACTTATAGGGCTAGTCACACGATTATTTTTTTTGGATATCAAAATATTATGAAAGACTTGCCCCTAAGACATAGCCATTGAGGATTTTTTTTTAAAATTCAAGTGTAAACAAAAATTACTTCTTTCCTGGCTGTTATTGGACCTATTTCTCCAATCTTGTTTGATAGCCGCTCCATTGGATCGGTCATTTTTTCAAAAATAAATTTTTCAAATACAATGCTACAGTAATAAATAATAATTCAAAAAATATGTCATCTATACAATAAATCAAATACTTCAAAAAAAATTTAATAAAAATTTTTCATATATACTGTTACAGTAAAATTTTTTTAAAAAACCCCCAAAAATAATTAATCCAAACAGAGTTATGTTATTCCACGCGAACGTTCTAGATAGAAGACTATTCGAAATGTTATTTTAAATAATTATTTTAGCATTTTCTATGATATGATACATATAAGATAAAAAAGATAATAAAAAATATCAAAAATATATTTATAATGCAAGTTAAATGGGGAGAATTTTTAAAATTTTAGATATTCTTTTCAAACCAAATGAGGAGAATTTATTTCAAATTTTTAGAACGAAGGCCACCATCCCACTGGCCACAATCCTTTTTGACTGTCTGATTCACGCATTGAAAATTTTATAGCAATTTTGTATCATCTCAGTTTCGCCGCATTCTTAGAGAAAATACTTGATATAGTTACGAAGAAACAAGATAATTCATGTTAGCATACTTGTATGTAGATTCTTCTAAATCAGACAGGTGCATCTAGTCTGATGATGGTTCGGTTTCTAGGTCCAATTGGACCTATATTCCCCTTATTCCATAGCAATGTATGACCTTTTTTTTTTTTCGACACAGGGATGTACAGGTCAATTCTTACGGGGCTCGATTAATCCCCTGCTGCTCGAGTACGGCACCCCAACCGGACCAAAGCACGATAAGTGCACAGGCGTTTCCATAGTGCAGTTTCGAATCCGAGACCTGAATGTCTTAAGAGAACGCTACTACCATGTGACTAAACCCGTGGGGGCGAAGACCTACTCCATTCGTTGAGTGTTGATGGCAATTCCGTTGGTGGTTCGAAGCATATATTTCGTTGGCTGTTGATGGCGGTTCTGGTTATGAGTTGGTTTTGATTCATGACAAGTGTTCGTGCCTTCCATTCCATTTCCGAAGGTGCAGATGCAAATGCAATCAACTTGGGGTTTCACCCACCGCAGAAATAGTGGTAAAATCTGGGGACAAGTGCTAGCCTACTGCTAATTACCAAAGATCAACTTGCCATCACCAGTGTGCCAAACTTCCAAGTTGCTTGTCCCGCATCTCCTACTGGTTATGACCGCCTCTCATTTTTCAAGCGGGGCGTCTTTGACTTTCAGTCGTAAACCTGTTTGGATTGCGAGGTTTTTCAAAGAAAATAATTTGAAATATTTTTTTAATACATTTCTCGATTATATTTTTTATTTGATGTACTTCATATTATTATGGTATTTTCTTTTATAAAAATTTTCAAAAACTTCAATCTAAACGAGGGCCCCGTTTGGATTGCATTTTTCGTCATTTTTCATGAAAAAATTACTGTAGCGATTTGATGTATGTGAGGAAAAAGGTAATAGGGAAATATAATCACGAAAAACGACGTAATTTTTCGACGGAAAACGGCAATCCAAACAAGGTTTTAATTTCCTAGTAGCTAATGATATGAAAAAGAAAACTTTTAATTTACTATAAAGTGTAAACAAATAAAAGGGAATTTTTTTTCTTTGAAGAAACCAATATAATGTACCTTTTAATTTCATGAACTTTCTAATTCTAAAAATTTTTCCCATGACAATTATGAAAAGGTTGTAAGCAGGGTTTCTTTGATTTTTTTTTTTGGAAAATTAAAATGCTGTGCAGAACTTGGTAGGCATTTGGTTCAAGCTAAGGAATCGGAATTGTAATTGGAATCATTTCTAAAAAAAAGTATGGGATTTCTTGAGGGCGTCATTCAAATAACTAGAATTTGGCAAATAATTATAAGGAATAGGTATCATAATTTAATACCATTTTTTACCTATATTTTGTCCCTTTTTTTTTTACTCTTTCATCGATTCATCCTCTCTTTTTTCTATGTTTAAATCCTTCGTACTCATCCTACCACCGTATCTCTTACTAAAACACTACCTAGCAACTCTCTCACCAAATCTCTTATTGTAATGAAAAGAATGTGATGGAAAGAAAAAAAAAATTTCCTCCCAAACTTAATGGAATTAGAAATATACAGATTTGAGATTAATTCATCAAAATAATACACTCAACCCATAACAAAAGTTAAGTTGGGTCAATTAATAAAGGAAAAAAAAGCGCGAATGTTTAATGGATGGGAGAGAGAGAGACTACCATGGAAAGAGAAAATGGAGAGTTCACCATCAAGGTATAGAGGGAAAAAGGAAGAGGGAAGAGCAGAAGAATGATGGAATCATGAACATGAAAGAAAACAGTCAAGGACCAAAGGAAGAAAAGATAGAGCCGTGTAACAGTTCAACATCCCACTTAAGCTTTATCCTCTGATTCGACCTGCCGACAACTTCACTTTCCAAGAAATTCAACGTCAGATCACTCTTCGAAACTCCACCCAGTCTTGAAATCCTAAACGTCACAAGTAAAAAATTTATCTCAAACTCCGTCCTTCTGGTGGTACGTGCAACAAAAATAATTAATCCCAGACATAAGATTCAACGGGCTTTTTTGGGTCGAATGGACACAGGCTCAGGCCAGGCAAGCACGGGTCCGAAGCCATTCACAGTCCTAGTTTTAGGCCTACATGACTATTGACGCAAAACAGGCAAAATAGTCCCATACGTGGACACGAGTACCTTTATACACATCCTCCTCAGTCCCTTGGTCATTTCTTTTGATAGGCAACCTGATTCCCTGGACTACATTCCTTCGGATATCGCATTTCTATGCCTTCTGTTCTAGACTTCTAGTCCACTATATTATTTTGTATGCAAACAAACAACTGTACTCCTACTACTTACATAAATAAATTTCTACAAGTGTCTTATCATTCCTTGAAAAAGCGAAATAAAAGAAGGTAAGGGCTCGCATCCTGTTGACTTGTTACGGACTCGGGACACGGACACCTGCAACCGTTTCGGATAGTTTTGATCATTTTTAATTATGCGTAATTTTTTTTGTACATCGTATAACTTTTTTTGTACATCGCGTAACTTTAGAGTAAATTTTTGTGGGATCCACACATGGCGTGAAAATCGAGTTACAACTTGTAATCTCAGTCGCACAAATTTTTAAGGCCAGATCACGACCGTTAACCGTTCAAGAACGGTCATACTGCCCCGTTTCCACTTGTTACATCTATAGAAGTCCAGTTATAGAGAAAAAGAAGAGTCCTGGCAAAAAGACACATGGGCCAGGTTGATCACAGACGTAAACGCCTCTAGAAGTTTGAGAAAGAAGAAAGGATGTCGAAACCAGAGGATCAGACAAACACAATAAATGTTGAAAATGGAAGTTCCAATTGAAGTTTGTGAAATGCCAAAATGACAACCCTATGCTCCAGCCGGCAAAGAAACACTTTTGTTTTATCTTTGGTCTTCAAGCGCACAAGCAAGACACCAACAAAATATGCTCCGTTACTTCACAAGATTGGTGAACCAAATTGGAGAAGATTTTGCACAATGCATAGCAACATGTGAACAAGTTGCAAACTTTGAGAGGATTTGCCTCATTAGGGGATTCAATACTCGTTGAAGTCCTAAAATTTAGCTCCAGTTTGTAAAATTTCAACAATGTTCTTAATACTAGCACATGGATTAACCTTTTATGTACCGTATACACTTTTACCATTAAATACATAACACATAATTCGAATTTGAATTTGAAACTTAAATTTTGCATATGTGTCGTATATCCAACCCAACCGTGATAATGTATATATCGTCGGTGTATATAAAATTTACTCCTAACATAAATGGACCTCGAGATTATGAATTTTTAACTTGTAACGTCATCGAATGACGGCTAGTCTCAACCGTTTTACATGATCAAGTCTGTGCCCCTAAGCAACATAGGATGGGATGAGTAGTTTTCCTGGGAGTTGATTGATAAAAAGAACATAACACGAATATGGTCTTCTACCAGGACTTATTATAAACGGTCTACCAGCTTATTCTCATACACAAGGAAAGAGGGTATGTAGATGCTCAATTAGCAGACTAGACCACGAACAAAAATGGCACAGCATTATAACGTTAACAGTTGGATTTTATCAAATAAAAAAATAAAAAATTAATCCGTGTTCTATGGATTGATAGATTGCAAAAATTCAAATGATATACTGATCAGCAGTACTCAATGCCAGCTATATTCCGTGACAATATGCCCTGTTTAAGAAAATGACAACATGGATTTATTTGGACCTTCAAATCACAACGTGAAAGGCGGTATCCTCCTAAAAATAGATTCAAACAGAGGACAGCTTAAGTCTCTTCACAAGCTTAAGATCCTTGAAGATCACAGAGGGAAGTTTATATTTT